TCAACTGATGAGTGGATAAAGATGTGTGTGTGTGTGTGTGTGTGTGTGTGTGTGTGTAATACCAAGGAGCACTACTCTGCCACAAGAAGGGTGAGCTTCAGACATTTATAGCTAAGTGGCTGGACCTTGAGACCATACTCAACTGAAATAAATCGGATATGCATGTTTAAATGTCACCTTTCTCCGGTGTGACTGAAATATATAAAGGGTGTTGGGAAATGGGAAGAAAGTATTCAAGTGGGAAGGGGAACAAGGGAGGAGGGAGGCAGAGAGAAAGAAGGGACAAGAAAATGGAAACAAAGCTTTTGTATATAGGGAGGGGAGGGGGCTTGACGGGGGAATGGAATAAAATAAAATCTATTTTTACAAAAGAGGTGTCAGGTGTAGAAAGGAGTGTGACCATTTCTCACTTCAGTGAAGGGAATAAGGAGGGCGCTGTAACGGAGACTAACGAAGGGGAATCAGAGGCACGGGAGGGAGTGTGGTTAAGAGAGACCGCTCTGGAAGGTGACGTACACGCGTCCTGCGGGTGAGAGCGAGCTGGCTATGCCGGGAACTGTGGGCGGCCCTCCCGGCCTAGCATCCGGAGAAGCGTGCTCTATGGGAGCTAGGAGCCAGCTGGAGCACAGTGACAGGGACAGAGCGCCGCCCGTCCAGGGTGGAAATGGCAGCAGTGGCCGAATGATGCAGGGTCTCTGGGACTTTATGCCTTAGTGGGGAGCAAAGGACGAATTTCAAGCCAGGGGAGCGTGTGGAATCCCATTGCAGAAAGGAGGCTTTGCGAGTGAGGAGAGCCAGCTAGGTCCAGCTAAATTCACCACTTGCGCGCAGACGCGAGCAGGAGAGCGTGCTATCCCTCCGACTGACTCTTACACGGACGTGCGGCAGCTGTGTTTGCGCAGACCTCATGGCCCCTGCGGAGTTCTCTTCCCAACAGGCCCATTGGTCGGGGACCTCGCTTCACTCAGGGTTAACTAACAATGTCACCTTCAGCGAGTTCACCTCTGGGCACCTTACCTCAACTAGCAGTCCTGCCTCTGTTGACGTTTTAATCCCCATATTCAGAATTTCCCCCCTTAGCACTTATTACAGTTAGGGTTCAGTTCTAGATGTTGTCCCCAAAGCCTCATGCAGGCATAGGGCTTTTTCAGAGGTGGCTGGATCTAGAGTGTGTGACGCTGGGATTAAGGACGTGTGATGACTAAACCAATACACGGATTGGTTTGGCACCGCCCTAATCCCAGGAGTCTGGGTAAAATAAAGGGGGCAGAAACCCGCTGTGGAAGTCCCTTCCTGCTTTTGCTAGGTGTGGGAGCCATGAGCTGTTCATCCCTGTGTCCCACACAGCCTTGGAGCCAGCTGGTTATGGACTGAGACCTCTACACTCTGTGAGCCGGATAAACATTTCCCCTTTAACTTAGGGGGTTGGGTATTTTGTCTCGGCAACGAGAGAAAAGTAACCAACACACTAAGGTGCATGTTTAATTACATGCTAATATATTCATAATGTTTTACTTATCTTGCTTACTATCCCTCTTCCTACCTAGAATGTAACATCTTCGAGGTCAAGAATTTTGGGGTTTGGGTCTCTGCTCTGTCCCCGGCCCCGAGTTTAATGATTGACATAAGTACTGAATTAATACTTATTGGATGCATGAGTGAATGAATGAATGAATATTTGTGACAGCCTCTTGAGTACAGCAAAGGATTGGAAACAACTTGAATGCTAGCAGTAAGGAAAAAGTTACATAAAGCCGACAGTTCTCACCTGCAGGACTGTAACTCTAATACGTACTTATCTTTCAGAGACTGTTATGGTTCACATAGCATCCAGATGTCCCCGCAAGGCCTCGTGATTGCAGGCCAGCCCCCTGCAGGTGACTGGACTACAGGGGCTGGTAGCTGACTTACTGGCAGACGATGGGCCTGGTAGGAAAAGGTCCCACCAGGTGTGACCCAGAAGGTGTATCTCCTTTCCTGGCTCCTCCCTTGTTGCTCTTTGCTTCCTGGATGGCACGACATCAGCAGCTCTCCTCCGCCTAGGCCCTTCAGCCACAGTGCTGACTGCACAAGGACCAAAACTTGTAAAACATGAGCCAAAACACACCTGTCCTCCCCTAAGCTGTGGCTGTCAGCTATTCTGTCCCAACACTGAGTGACTATGACAGAGATGTGTAAGTATATATAAATGAACACAAAAATGTGTTCATTTTATTTTAAGTGGAAAGTGGAGGTTATAGGATATATAAATTATATGATCCCTTTTTTGGGAGGTTTTTTTTTTTGTTTTTGGTACCAGGGATTGAACTTGGGACCTTACACTTGCAAGGCAGGCGGCAGAACCACTGAGCTAAATCCCCAGCTATGATCCCATTTTTAAAACACACGTGCCCAGCCAGCCAGAGGCTGGACCTGAGAGAAGTAGCCGAAGATGAACCCCCAACCAAAGCTCATGTCTGAGATAGGGACCCACAAGGAGCTGAGCAGCCTGCTGGACTGCTTTGTGACATTTTCCCCCCCTGTTAATAGTGGTTCCCAGACCAACGACCCTGGGAAGCAGTCAGTTCAGTGGATCAGGTCCTTTATAAAGGACCAGGCCTTGGAATGAAGGATGATATTCCTGATCTAGAATCCGAAACTTAGAAGAGGATGAAACACTTTCCACCTTCCTTTATGAAGCCAGAATTAACCTGATTATGTAAACCAGACAAACAGTAAACAATAAAGGAAGGACAAAAGAAAAGAAAACTATGGACCATTTTACTGCATGAACATATTGCAGAAATCCTCCAAAAATTAGCAAATTAAATTCCACTGTTCATAAAAGGAAAAACATAAAACAAACTACAGCTAACATACTTCATGGTGAAGGAATGGAAATTTTCTTCCGTGAACAAAAACAAAGCAAGAATGTCTACTCTAAACCTTCCTCCAGTTCAACATTTTACTGGAAATCCTAGTCAGCATTAATACAGGAAAAAAAAAAAGGAAATAAAAGAGGCGATTGGGAAAGAAGAAATAAAACTGTTTCCAGTGACGACAACCTGATGGTCCCAAAGAATCTTCAAAAACCTAGAGTTTAGCAAGGTCACATGATATAAGACACACACACACACACACACACACACACACACACCCCAGTCTTAATTCTCTATGCATTTAGCCCTGCATTTCTTCAGGTTCATCGCCTGCAGATTCAACCAACCATGGATTAAAAATATGTGAAAAGAAGTGTGGCTGAACTAAAAGTGTGTCTGAACTAAGCCCCTTGCTGTCATGTTCTCTAAGGAATATAATAGAACAATTATTTTTATAGCATTTACACGAGGTATTACAAATAATAAGGAGGTGACTAAAAATATACAGGAGGATGTGTAAAGTTGTATACAAATACTATGCCATTTTTAAAGGAACTTGAGTATCTGGATTTGGAGATTTGGGGAGTTTCCTGGAATTAATCTCTTGTGGATACTGAAAGTCCACTGTCTAGCAATGTATAATAGGAACTTGGAATAATAAATTCTATTTGCAATAGTTCCAAAGGAACAGACACTTAAGTATAAATATAACATACATGTACACTTGATCCGTGTGCTGAAATCTAAATAGTACTGAAGGAAACCGAAACAGACCTAAATATATGTAGAAGTATGCTGTGTTATAAAAACTGTCAGACCTTCCCTATTTGATTTGTAGATTTAATACAGGTCCAGTAAAAATTCTAGCAGTATATTTTAGGGGCACAGGGAATTTGACATCAAACTTTAGATGGAAATGTAAAGAAATATTGAAGCGTTTTGGAAGAGTGAAATAAAAGGATTATGCTTTGTGATCTTGATTGAGTGCGGTTCACAGGGGAGTATAGCCCTGTGAAGGGATACAGCTGTCTTC